TCCACGTGGCACTCGTGGCCCACGAAACACCCCTCCCCTGTCCCTATACTCACAGATGGACATTCTCATTGGTTTAGCTCCATGATAAATTCACCCAAGGGTATATCTACCCTATCCCGGTATCTTCCAGACAATATAGACCATGTATACATCCAAGATAGGGCCCAGATCCATGTGCTCCTCCTCCCCCCTCACTTTCTCAGCATACCATAGGCCCATATGGCCAAATATTGTGGTTCGGATGGCTGATACATGCTCTATGGATGATATGGCACTCATAACACCCAAAAGGAACGGTATCCAACCGCTAAATAATGTACCCTGCATAGCTGAGCCCCAACCCTGAATATCCCTCCACTTGTTTTTGCAATATCTTGGGAACGCATGGACGGATTTGTCCAAATCCGGAATATGTCCATCACATACATTTATACTTATTTATCAGAGCCAAAGAACTGCCAAAGTCGCCCTTCTTCATGTCTCCAACTTTGGGCCACATTTTACCCTTTTATCAGCTAATTCCATCAAAACAACACCTACCCCTGCAATTCATTCACTCTGAATCACAAAACTCACAAATTTACCAAAACACACCCAGATCACCCCATTTCCCCTACCAAAACACCCCCACAGTACCTGGTATACCAATCCTAGCATTCCTACTATTATTTCCGTATTTTTCCGTATTTTTATCGCCCATCATTCTATCCCTATTCACCTATCTATCTGCCCTAGCTCCAGAGCCCATGCCTAGCCCCATACATCCTCCCCATACCCTGTATACAGCTATCCTAGCCCTACTGCACAATTACCACCCATTTTCCTACCCTATCCTACCCCCTACCCCATCCCCTACCCATCCCCAAACCATCCCCTACCCATCCCCAAACCATCCCCTACCCATCCCCAAACCACCCCCTACCCCGAGGCCACACCCCATACCTACCCACGCATTTTTTCACGCATTTTTTCGCCCATTTTTCCGGCCAGAATACCCACCAGCACCACTGCTCTTTAATAAAGAGCCCTTATTAGCATGAGCCAGTAATATAGTGGGCTCTCTGCAAAGAGTCCCAGTCTTACTATAGGCACTCATTATAAAGAGGCTACATCATCTGGTGTCCTTTGATGCTTCGTTCCTCTTTTTTCTCTCCCGATATGACTACACGTAAAAAAACGGTTCAATTCTATGACTCACCTTTTGTTTACGATTGTCCTTGGTCTCTGTCCAATTATTTAGATACGGATTCCTTTTTTCCCGCTAACAATGTTCCGGTTTCTCCACGACACGACCCTGCGATGACACATGCCTCTAACTTTACCTCTGTTCCGATTCGTTCATCTTCTCCAGTCTCCGATGTTTCTTTTGACGATCAGTTAGCCCTGCTCGCTGAGCAGAAGCAGGACGTAACTCCTGAATTTTGTTCAGCATCGGACTGTACTATACGGGATTCAACTCCCGCCATTCCTCTCTTACCTACTTTTGAATCATCACCTTCTGCTGACCAAAAACCGTCGCAAAACCCCTACTAGAAAAATTAGAAAACACTCGACGATGGAAGGGAGCGAAAAAGATAGTTATCGGGACCGGGGCGAACTAACTCGATCTACCAGTAGGACTACAAGATCTTTCGCCTACGGGTAAAACCGTCCGGTCCACGGCTCTCCTCGACTTGGGCTGCACAAGTAGTATTATCGACGAGGAATTTGTGAGGAAACACAAATTACCTACCTGGCCTCTCGATAAACCGATCCCGGCGATTAATGCTGACAGCACTAAAAATGCTGCAGGATCAATTACTTGTGTAACCGAACTCCGCGTCTCCATCGGCGACCATACAGAAAAAATCATGTTTGCCATTGTACGATTAGACGGACACGATTTGTACCTAGGTTTCAGCCGGCTGAATTTGCACAACCCCGAGATTGATTGGACTCACCGTATGATATACTTTACCCGCTGCCCGAGATCATGTAATTACCATACAGGGCATGCCATGATTATATCCGTACGAGTACCTGTATCCGTGGGAATAGGTACTCGTTCCTTCGGAGTCCACACTTGTATCCGGTGTGACACCCGTGGGAATGGATACTTGTACTCGCGGATACAGGTACCCGCACAAGCACAGGTACTTACGGGTCGGCCATGGCCGCAGGTATACACAGGTACTCACGAATATACCCGCGGGTTTCTTATTGAGAAGTTGAGGTAGTAGTTGACCGAGTGGCTGGAGGGATCCCAGGGTGAGCAAGAAATATATAATTGGGAGATCTAATATACAAAAGAACGCTAATGATGCTACAAGAAGAAATAAGTAAGAAACTATTGAATAGAAAAATGAAATGAACTCACTAGCAACAGATAGAGAGAAAGCGTGGACTTGCCGTCCAAGCACTCAAAGGCCGTTCACGAAAAGGTAACTAAACAAAACAGAACTATGACTGACCATACTTGACAACAATGCACCACGACAAGACGACAAAGACACATATATCATACAGAGTTTGAAAAGACAAGATGCATGATATGAAAGATTGTCCAATAGAAAAAAATAGAAAAAATCCAAACTGGCGAAAAGGGCCCATTCACCGATGAGCAACACACCAAAGATCCTCTGCATGTTTACGAAGGGAAGGGTAGAAAGGGGTGTGAAGGATACCGAAGTCGCGCTGAAGGGCAGTGGACCAAAACACGAGCAGAGCTGTCTCAATCTTCTTCAGCGCAACAGCATCATCCTCTTCTTCGAGGGACTCCACAATCTCTGGTGTTACCTGGTCCACCGTGAGAACATACATCTTCTCCCCCTTCAAGTCTTCATGCTTCCGCCACAGTGGCTCCAGGTACTGAGACAGATACCAGACCCAATCCAACCGCTCGTCAAAAGATTCACGCTCTCATCCACAAGGTGCACGGTAATCCTCGTAAAAGACACACAGCCAGGCCAAGCACATCCTCTTCTGGAAAGTCGAGTTGGAGGTGAGATGGTCAGGCAGGTCACCGAGAAGAGGGAGATTGGTGTAATGGTGAGGTTCGCCAAGGTCCTGAGTCAGGATGAGGTCGATGAGCGTAAACTCGTGTAAAAGGGCCATCTCAGCAGAAGTGATCGCGAGGAGGGTCTTCAGCTCTGTATCGGTCTCCCAGTCAATCGCGCTGACATCGCATCCACAGCTGAGGAGACTTGGGGCGATTTCGGACTCAAAGTCCTCCAACGAGCAAACACCCTCCTTGGCACGTGCTGTAGCCACTGTACCAAACATTTCGTCAAGCCCTGCACGCCAGTAGCGACTCGGATCGAAGGGAGGAAAGGACTCTCCATGGGGCCACCTGCTCCGAAACTCTGCTCCAGAAGAGATGTTTCGCCACTGTCTCTTGGTGAGCAGGCAAACTGCAGGATCATGGAGAGAGGGGAGGTGGCGGTCAAAGATATGAGGGCGGAACATGAGAAGAAACTTCCAGAGTGTCTTAGCGGTCTCCGGATTGTCGCCTGTGAGGAAAATCTCGTACGGTGGGAACCAATAGGTTTGCGAGGTCTTCTTGTCCTTCAAGTTCTTCTTCAAGACATAGACCTCGAGCTCTGCATGAGTGGGATGAGGCTTTGGGAACCAATCGGGCAACAGCGGCTTTTTCGCTAAAGATGCAAGACTTGAGTTGAATGCCTTGTGATCTGCCGGTTGATTGAGAAGCTGCATGATGATGTTGTCCTTCGAAGGCTTTTTTGCCCTATTGGTGGCTGATTGTAATCAATAAGTCAGCGATGAAGCAAACAGCGGTCATGGAGTGAAACTTACCATGAATATTCCGCTCTTGAAGATTGGTCTCCATTCGCTGAATATGTCGGAGACGATTGGCAAGCTGGGGTGTTGGCGCTGCCAGATCGGTGCGAACGGCGACACCTCGGGCCTCACGCTCAAAGGCCAGACCATGTGTAAGACGGGGTGGATAGAATATCCTGTCGAGCTTCTGCCAATCATCTAGAATAGCAATAATATTAGCGAGAATGGAAAGAGGAGATAAAATAAAAGACATACCATGAGAAGCAAGACTCTCAATGCCAACCTTATTCCGCCATGGTGAGAAGGATAGTTTTGAGAGTGGCGGATTTGAGCGAGGGATTTCGGAGCAGGCAAGATACACCGGTGCAGTCATGTGGGCGAAGGCGAGAAAGATATCGCTATCCTTGGTCGAGAATATTGACCCACGGAGAGAGTGCTAACGATGGTCGGTGAGAGGGTTGGGATATGACTGGACATCCTGTGCCCAGTAGAGGAAAGTGTTCATCTCGACCATGGTACATTCATGTGCTCGCATCACCAACACAAACTGCTCCCATCCATAAACACCCCTGACAAGACGATGGAAAAACTAGAATTCGCGATCCAGGATAAAGCGAGGGAGATCGGTGTCCAAGACATCTCTATTTAGAAGGTTATGGCACATGAGGATGTTAGGGAGGAACTTTTCGATGGATGCTCTCATTGAGTTGCGTTTCTCGTGGAGTACCTTCATGATGCTCTCATGGGGAGACATCAGCGGTGTCCGGGTCTTCTGAGAAGGGAGTGAGGAAGGGAGACCGGGTGAGTTTATACGCAGGCCTTTGGTCCATAGGGAATGTCGATGCTGGCGAAGAAGTGGTCGACGGAGTTCGGCGTGAGAGATGGGAATATAGAGGAGCCAGGGAGTATGAGGGTCGAACCGCTATGGATAGAGACTCACCATTACCCACCATTTTCCTATCCTATCCTACCTCCTACCCCATCCCCTACCCCATCCCCAAACCACCCCCTACCCCCGGGGCCACACCCCATACCCATTCACCCATTTTTTCACATATTTTCCGCACATTTTTCCGGCCAGGACGCTCACCAGCACCATTGCTCTTTAATAAAGAGCCTTTAATAGCCCAGGTCATTAAGGTCATGAGCTTTTTGTAAAGAGCTCTAGGCTTAGTACAGCGACTCTTTAAAAAGAGGCAACATGGACGCCTGCGAGAGCCGATGCAAAGTCTTGACCTCACTGGACAAAGTGGGGTCTACTTTCGTGATTGCATGGGACCATACGGCCCAATTATTGGCTAAGCGATCGAATTAGGCTCAAGTCCATGAGAGAAAGGATGAAAAAAAAACCTACAGTCATAGAGCGAAGGGAACGGGCTTGAGGGTACGTTTGACATGATATCAGACGACTAGCCTGTCATAAACAAATAACAGTGTACATCAGTGAGTGTATGTAGCCCGAAATATGAACGCACACACCAGTAAATTCGAGACAAGCCAAGGGTGTAAGGTTGCTGTACGCGATGAACACGTTGCACTCCTAGTGATGACCCGCGGAGACCGGAACAGACACAACGGGATAAAAAAGATGGTCAGTGTTAGCATGAACATCAAAGTAAAGAAACGCACCAAAAAAGATCAAAAAAAAGTTACCGCTGCAACTAGCCTCTGAATGCAGTGTATCGAAAGCCGAGGGAGGCGTTTCGAAAGCGAGCGGAATTCGTCCGCAGGTGGGGGCGATATCCAAGGCCTGCCCAGGGGTTCGAGGGTGCTGCCTAAGAACCGGAATGGGCCTCAGAGCCGACAACGGAGACGCGAAGTGTTATTCCGATGCTCGAACTCTGTGGGCTCCGTCCAGAAAGGGGCCTGAGGGTCTTGAGGGGGCGTGTGTGAGCGCGTTGCGGGTGGAGGCATGCAGAGACGCGATGAGGGTGATAAAGGAAGCGAGCGGAGACGAATTGCAGCCGTCCTTGTAAGAAACATTATAATGGAGTGCGGCAAGGACGCTGAGCTCCATTGTAATGTTTGACGAGTATTGCCGCACAGCCACACCAGGCCCTGGCACTCTGTCCGGTCACTTTCTGCACCGGCCAAATTGGGAAAATCACCAGTGCATTTTCGGGTTTTTGGTATAAAAAATACCAGGGGCAGGGTAGGGACCGGGATGGGGTGCTGGGGTGCTGGATAGGGGGTAGGAAAATGGGTAGGGGGTGGGGGTAGATGGGTAGCAGGCTGGTAGGGTGCTGTATACATGAATTGGGTGGGTTTTGGCTGGGATTTGGGTACTGGGGACAATACTGGGTGTACTGGGGTAGTATTAGGTGCGATAAAAATCGGGGAAAATAGGGAAATAATAGTAGGGATGCTAGGATAGGCCTAGCAGGTGCTGGTTTCTGGTTTGTTAGGGGGTTAGGGGGTGTTTTGGGGGTGTTTTGGTAACTTTGCG